CTGTACTTTTCAATAAATTCCGGATGCAATCAATGTTCACTGAAAACAGATGTATTTCGACAACTCAATGTAAAACCCGTGTCCTCTTAATGATAGAATACGTTACTACTGCTACTACTACTATTACAATACTACCAGCCAGCTGTTGTGAATTAAATTTATTTGTCAAAAACCGATCTTCAAGATAAAACAATGATATTGCCTACAGTAGAAACTCTATTTTTTTCTGTCGATGTATAAATAATTCATAAATCCACAATCATTTGATTCTAACTCATCAGTCATAAAGACTGACTAAACCAACTATGTGTTCTAGCCAGCAGGATACCGGGAAGACGCATCCAGACGCAAGTCACGCATTCAATTGTCCCGGAAAGACGGAGCCAATACACCGAAATGTAAAATGGACAATTTGTATTGCCGTTTGGGTTGGAGTAATCTCACGGTCGGTGTTCGTGGTGGTCCATGGCAAATAATGAAACAACAAGTCTATTACACCCAACGGACAGCATTCTTTGAAACAAATGTTCTGGGCAGGTGAGAATGACTACTGTACGTATGTGCTCTGAACGTGAACCGATGCAATAGTTCCCAATATATACATTTATATATATATTTGTATTTAACTCACAATTACTTGGAAGTACTGTTGTGGGATAATTGTTATTGATCGGTTGCTCAGAATTGACCATCTTTCAGACTTCACCTTCACGCGCACTCCTCAGCTCTTCCAATCAACCATAAACTCGGAAGCACTAGACTCGAGTTTCGCTCTGGTTGGAGCTCATCAGTAGTGCATATCCCCCATCCGACCCGGGATTTGAACTCCGGACCCGTCGTATAGAAGGTGTATGCGTTACCACTATGTCAACCAGCTCATACTAGTGCTGAACCGAATTGCCAATTCATGTTTGAACAGAGAAGTCAAAAACATGGGTTTGAACAATGCGTCCATGGTCATTTCACTGCATCTGTACACACGTGCATGTACTGCAGTAAAAGGGAGATAAAGACTATGAGACGAAGACAAGATCGGTAATCAAAACGGAAAACACAACAAAACAACTCCAGAAAGGGCCACGAGAGAGGGTAGAGGGTCAATCATCAAGGCAAAGCGAATTCGACTAACCATTCATGTTGTTTGCATAGATCGAGTTTGAGAGTATGAATAGCTAGATAGTCTCGGCACAATTCAGTAACTTTGTGTTTCTTGTGTTGTAGATAAGCTGAAATGCGTGGGGTTGGAATGACACAGTGTTTATTTTCGAATAAGTGTTGTGTTACGAAGATCTAGGTCTGTTCTCATAATTCCATGATGTAACAGTTTTGAACTTGCCGCCCACCGATTTCTTAAGCCACACCGGAATGTGTTCGGTTTGATGGAACGAATACGTTGGTAGACGAAACAAAGTGGAATCAATCGTGGTTTTTACATGGGATGATATTTCGATGAATTTGCGAACAGAAGAAGCGATAACAGTCCTCAACTATCATCAGATTACATAGTCAACATAACATGTGAAATGCTTTGTCTACAGACTGGATACCACATTCGGCTGTGTTCGAGCATTGAGTTTGGCAGACGCACACACACACACACACACTGATCCAGACATTGTTCAAAGAAAATATTGGACAGCACGACCTTCAATTTCTTTTTGATCGCCGTAAGAGTTTGGTTTTACCAAAAACGCCTACTTAATTCCGGCCCTCTGAATAGTATTTGATTTCTGTGATTCGTGATTCATTGCCTTGTCAAGTAAATCTCTGTATTACAACTATCCCGACTCGGTCAGTAAATCTCATTACGGAATCCAGATATATCTGCTATTAACAAATGATGTGTACATTCCCACAATGTATGCTAAGCAATAAATCTTCCAGTAAATGATAATTTCTGAATTGGACAATGGTAACACGAGGTTTTATACGACGTTCAGCCGTCACGTGAATGACGCTTCCGTAGAACACCATAAGCTCGATGATAACGTCACCAGTCATCACCTCAGAGGACGTTTTTTCCAATCCCACCACCACCACAGTCTGACTTTCCCAATTTGTGTGTTGTATGACAGCCCCGTTTGATGGGTCCCTTCCTGAAAATTTGTATCTTTGCATATTCAATAAATCGAAAAGAGTTTATTTCAAATATTATGTTTGTATTTGTGATAGCACTGCTTTAGTTCTGATGTAGTCTGCATAAACTCATACACTTCGGTNCTTCGGTTGATTGTACCAGACCAGTGCACAAAGTGCTGACATTCTCCGAGATGTACTCCGAGGAGATTGATCATCAAGACACATAGCAGCTGATATACCACCACGTTTCTAAGGAATGCCCCAGAACTACTTTTACTTACCGAGGCCACTGTACTCACAGACCTCTGGTTGCGTAAGGGTCTATGATGAACTGAGTAGGCTGTTCGTCACCAGTAGCGGAGTTCGAAAAGGGTACCCTCCNTCGCCATTCCTATTCAATTTCATCGTAGACGAAATACTAGAGGACGCATTACGTGGACTCCATAACGTAGGTATTGAATGAACAGCTGGAGAAAAGCTATGCGATTTGGAGTACGCCGATGACATAGTCTGTCAGTTCGAATCTATGGAGGACGCGCAAAGCACACTTGACAGGCTAACAAGTGCAGTTGTCACATTCAGTATGTTCTTTGCACCTTCAAAGCGCAAAGTAATGCTGCAGGACTGGGTTTCGTCTACTTCCGCTCTGAAACTAAATGGTCAGGAATTAGTTACGGTGGATTACTTTTCGGACTTAGGTAGTTGCTTAACCAATGATGGTAGTGCAGCAAAGGGGATAACCGCACGCGTTTCCCAGGCTCGATCAACATACACAGGACTGATACACCTATGGCGTAGACGCGATGTTTCAATGAAGCTGAAAGGCCGTGTATACCGCGCCACCGTACGTTCAGTTCTGCTCTAGAGTTGCGAGATCTTGAATTTGTGAGTAGAAAATATCCGTCGACTAGAGGTTTTCAATTATCAGTGTTGGGATGGAGCGAACGAGTAAGTAATGTGGAGGTAACCTGCTAGCATACCGAATTCAGATTAGCAGACGTTGCTGGCTAAGGCACGTATTGCATATGCCCAGCTATCGTCTGCC